ACCTGAAAATTAATTTCAGGTGCAGAATCCATTGATACTGGTTAGTTTTAGTGTGTATTACCAGCGGGCTCCGATCTTGAGAAGGGAACCTCTATCTCTGCTCCGTAAATCCAACCGCAGGGATGAGCATGGCTTGCAGCACACGGCTTAGCGAGCCCCTTGCCTCGTGGATGTATCAAGTTTACAGACTGCATTTACAACCTGCGTGCACTGAATCTGTTAGTTCTGAGGCACATAGTGTGTTCAGCCCGTGTGCACCAGATTCTCTGCTAATGTCAGCATGGAAGTTGTGCCAACCTTTCTCATCCCAACCCTTGGCTGCTTCCAGCTATCGCTTCCCACAGCACAACTTATTGGACTCCTCTGCTCACTCCCTGCTTGCAGCTCTTTGGCCTTTACGGAGGCAGTTTGTAGTAGGTGGCCCCTTGTCCTTTCTCCATGTTCGAGGTTTGTGCATCCCAGATGCACCCGGGCTGTGCTGCAGGGAACCTGCACTGTGGCCGTTTCCAGAGACTTGTGTGTGTGTCTTGAGGCAAGGCAGAATGGCTGGAAATTCGTGACCAACAGCTAATTCTTCCATCCCCTTCCCCTTCACCTGGAGAACTTTGGGGGAGGGAAAAAAGGAAAAAAGAAGTGTGGAGATGCACGCACGCACACACACCGCCAAACACAGGCAGGCTCATCCAAAAAGTACTTTTGTAACAGATATGTATGAGTGCAAAGAGGTAATTGCAAACTGCCCAGTCAAGGATCAGGGGACTTCACTGGCCCCTTCCATTACAACTTGAGTTTTGTCGTCTTTATCCAGACATGATCCACGTTTACCCTCCTCGTTCTCTCTAGCTTAATAAAGCCTGGGCTTGTTGGCCCATGCGTGTTGAGGCTTGAATGACAGTAGTGCCTACGTGGTAAGGAAATGAAAAGCTCCATGACAAGAGCCTCGAGGGCTGCAGCCCCCGGCTGTGCAGCTGCTTCGCTTGCGCCGTTCCCCTGGGCAAGCTCTCGGGGAAGGCCCAGCCAGGAGGACGGAGCGGCTCCGCAGGGCCCTCGCGTGTCCCCGCGCGCCAAACGCCCCGTGCGTCTCACCAATGGCGAGAGGCTGCAGACGGGGTGGCAATGCCGGCACCTCCGCTGCTACTGAGCGTCTCTGTCTTTCCTGCAGTCGATCCTGGGCAACCCGAGCGGCCTGTGGTCGAGCACTCCCTTCAGCAGCTCCATCTGGTCGAGTAACCTCAACAGCGCCCTCCCCTTCCCCACTCCAGCAAACGCCTTGTCAGGGATCGACCTCATGGGCAGCGAAAACCCCTCTCCGCCGCCGCCACCCCCGCCGCCCCCGGCCCCCGTTGCCAATCCCGCTGAAGACATGGGACAGACCTACAATCCTTGGAGAATCTGGAGCCCCACGATTGGAAGAAGAAGCTCGGATCCTTGGTCTAATTCACACTATCCTCACGAAAACTGAAATTAAACAAAAGGAAAAAACAAACTTTTATCCAGGTCATGATACAATTCTGAATGCTAATTTTTGAAACATCATTTTCAGGCTGTTGCTGGTCATTGCTATTTTTTTTTCTCCCCTCTCTCCCTGCCGGTCATGCTTTCATCACTCGCTCCTTTTAAAGTCTATCTTGCAATATGATAGTGTGAGATTGCAGATAAGCTTGAAAAAGTCTGGGTCTGGTCACAAATCAAACTACAGCTGAAGCCTGTAAATCTGAACAGTTTCACTGGGTTCATATTTTACCATCTGCCACTTTTTATTTAGGAAGCAATTTGAACTATAAAATGGTCCTGGCATGCAATACTTTTATCAAAGTACCGGTTTTGGTTTTTAAATTTTTTCCAGTATTATGCTCCAAGATCTAATTTTAAAACAAATAAAGCACTTTGTGCTAAAATGCAGAGTATTTTTTTAAAATAAGGCTGTCTTTGTTAACACAGGTTCTAAGAATGTAAAGAAAAAACAACAAAAAAAAACAACACACAACCTTAAGAGCAAAATGGCTGAATGTAAGAGCATTCTGTTGAGACTGTAATACACTTTCTGTGCTGTTTGTACATTTGTAAACCTGAATGCATTTTTAAGTTGAACTGAAATGCACACAGCCAAGACTTGTGAAAGAAACAAGATACCTTGTGCATTTCTTACGGATACAACTTTGGGTTGTACTTTAAAATAAATACTGCTTTTTTCAAGATCTGTCTCATGTAGTTCTGTCTATCTCCAGGCACTTTCTAAGCTTGCACAGGCCTGAATCTACTAGGCAGGAGTGGCCTTTGGGGCAAAATCTCCTGTTCATAGGGCCTGTATTAATAGAAACTTCACTGCCAATGAGTTATGCCTCCTCAGCAATGTGTGGTATTAAAGCATTTAAGACCTTGAGATTGTGTGCAGAGTTGCACAAAATACTGAGATGTCACCATGTGAAGTTGTGCTGGGTAGCAAAATGCTGGAAAAATGTCTATACCATTTCAGTTTGCAAGTAATCACATGTAGTAGCAGCTGCTGCTGCTCATGCTACACCCCAGCTCTGTAACAGTGTTCTCTGTAGGCCCAAACAAGAACTTCAGGGTTTTGTACATGGAGATGTGATTTGCCTCTTCCCTGAAGTGCATTTCTCTCAACACTAAGGCAAGCCCCAGTGCCTAAGTACATCCATGTGAGCTGACGTGAACCCACTTGCGTGACTCATAGCACTGCTGCCAGTTCACAGCAGCAGATTTTTATCAGAATCCGTCATTTAAAAGATGAAGAGCTGCATCTTGTAATTAAAACCTTTATGCTGCAAGGAATATTGTATACAAAAAAAAGATAAGGGTTAAATAAGCAATGTAGCCTAAATGACCACTTTTCCAGCTGGCGTTCTGCAAGCAGCAGCTCTAAGGCTGTCACTCTGCCCCGTTCTTGCTGCCACCAGCAGAAGCTGGAGATGGGGGTCTTGGAGAGAGGAGCTTTCTCAGATTCCTTTGTTCTTAGAATTCAGGTACTTTCAGAGCCATGCAAGCTGATGAAAGGTTCAGCTTGTGCTTATGTGCCTTTTCCTTCTGATGAATAACTGGGCAAACAAGTCTTTTCGCATACAAAATAGTTGTTAAGCTACTGACGTGCTGGGGCCTGTTTCTCTGTAAGATAAAAACTTAATGGTTACTGCTAGTTATCATCTTAAGTTTTAGTACCACTTTTTTCTCGCCAGTAGATCTTTGTATTAAAATTGATTCCCTGGAGGTTATAAGCAGAAATTCAATCTGACATACTAATAATCCTCACTGGTTTAAATGTCTGCAAGGACAGAAATGATTTCTGCTTCAAAAAAATTCCCCTTGAACAACATAAGGCAACACCTTTGTAGTATTCACCTTTGCTTCCAACATGTGAGCCCTTCCCTTGCCTTGTTTCAGATAACCTCTGCCCCCTTTAGCATAGTCTCAGTTCTTTTGCTCTCAAACACCAATTAAATATTATAATTTAAGCTCCAGGGACAAAACAAGGCAAGCTATTATGATCTTTGACATATATTCTGCCATTTCTTAAAAGAGGAAGAAGTAGTCCTGCCCAAGGAGAAGGGGGAAAGAATGCTAGGCCCAATTACTTCCTCTTTCTGAGAGTCTCTTCTCCCCTCTGCTCACTCTGTTTTGTATAATTAAAGAGCTGCTTTTGAGAATAGACCTAACTGGAATTTACGAGATTTAGTTTGAACAAAACTGTCGCAGAAGTTCCCGATTTCTGATGAGACTGGGGTAAGTAGGTAGGGCACAGTTTTGCTGCTTTCTCCCTGTGATGTTATGGAGCAGTTGCACTTTTCACAGACATTAGAACACTGGCAGAGGTCTCTGACATGGTCTTAAGATTCAATTTTTAATTTTACTTGGCCTTTTCTTGAATGCTTTTATTCAATGTCCCAAGCCTGTAAAACTGTTGGAAAGTTAGAGAGGCACAAGCAGGTGTGGCGAGTTGGAAATATTCTGCACAGATAGAGCGGAATACTAAGAGATGGCAGGTCTCTTGCATTACAGTATTAACAATAATTTTAAAAAAGGCAAATTGTCTGAACATATGCAAAATCTTACATGGAAATTCTAGATCGGGTTGAAAATCCTGCAGCCTTCTGGAAGGACAGCTTTGTAGGATAAAGGATGAGCACGAGCTCGGTAAGGCCTCAAGCTGTAAAGCTTTTCAGTAGCAGCATGAAAAGAAGACTGAGGCCTAGACCATGTGGGAAGGTCCATGCTGAATTAATAATAATAAATCAAAAATGTAACTTAAGGTTCTCTGAGGAAAGGTTACTCTGAAAAATGGGGAGCTTGCAGCCAGTATTTTAAAACCTTTTCTTCCATAGAGTAACATCAGGGCATGACTACGATGCGTCACCTCAGCTCTTCCAAACCTGGGGAATACAAACTAAAAACAAGGAAGAGAAATACTTACCATTAATTTTGCTAATTATTTTGCTGCTCCATATGGGCATTTCTATTCTGCCAGCTCTAATAAATAGTCTTTAAAAGCCTGAAAAGTTTCCGGCCTGTTTTAAATAGTAAATGCCTGGAGAAATGTATCGTGTCAAATTAGTTTACTTAGCACTAGCTCTGCTTCAATAAAACTTAGAGACTTGGGTTGAGATCCTATTAGGGCAGGACCTAAAGTTCCACCCAGTGGAAGCACCGTGGTGTTTATTCCATGACTATGGAGATGTGGAACAAGGCAAAGGAACAGCAAGCAGGTCTGGACGGAGCCTGGTGGCCCAGGTTAGCAAAGAGCCAGCTGGGGAAAAGTTTTCCAGCAGCATGTGGGTGACCAAGAGCAGGCTGCAGAGCCCAGCAGACGCGAGACAAGAGCGCGCTGAAGCCTTTCCCTTGTGGTGCAAGACGCTGCCTTTTTCTGGAGTGCAGTCACTTGGACGAATGTTTTATGCTGACTATAGCTTTGGTGCTTTGTTTTGCCAACCTGTAATTACGAGCAGGTTTTCTGAGCTCTGGTGTTTTGGCCTTGCAGCCCAGCAATGACTTGACCCCCCTAGGAGCCAGAGTTAGAGCAGAAAGAGGCACCGAGACTGGAAACCACCCAGCACCTTCTCTGTGGCTGCTGCTCCTGGAAGGGGGTCCGGCCCCCCTCTGTTAAAAGAGGTTCAAAGGAGCTGTTCTCTGCCCTGTGCCTGTTCCCACCAGGAACAGACATCACATATGTTCAAGCATTTGGGTCTTAGACGCTGAAATCCAGCACTGAGTGGAGCCTGATTTTTTTTCTTCCTGTATAGCAAAGAAGGGCCATGCAAATATCAAGAAGGCAAAGCTACAAATGGATATGGGATCCCCAGAAAAATACAGGAAACTAATACAGTGTCCTAAGGAGCAGCGGAAACCCTAATATGTGGCAGGACCTGAGGAGCATCCTGAACACCTCCTGAGCAGAACTGTGCAGTGAAAAACCCCGTTTTGATCAGTTGAACTGAACTGGCCTGAACATGTCACTAAGGGAAATGAACAAAATGGAAGTGTCAAGCAGGCTTTAAGGGACAGAAAAGGAAAAAAAAATAAGGAAAAAAGCCCTTGAATTTTGAGGTTTTTTTGTTTTTGTTTTCCAGGCTGGGAAAACCACATAGCAACTGCTCAGGAAGGACACTCACATGAGCCCTGGCACCAGTCTCTGCCTGTGGTGACGTGGGTGCTGGAGTCAGGGTCCCCAGCAGAGGTGCCAGCGACACCAGCTCCCAGGGTATCATCCGGGGCACCCATGGGCTCTCCTGCTCAAGCTGTAGCACGCGGTGGTCCAGGATTCTTTGCATGGCAGGGGGAAGTGAGGGGATTGATAGGAAGCACTGCAGTAACAGGAGTCTCTGGCCTGCTTGCCAGAGAGCGTTGGTAGGTGGCGAAACTCTGTCCTGGAGTCTGAGTAAAGTTCTTGCAAGCTATGGGGAATAGTTCATTTATTCGCCCTAAGCGAGGGAGAAAGGAGGATTTCTGGTGTCCTAAACAAAAAGCCCAAAGGCAAATGTCCATCCAGGGAATGGGGGCGGGGTGTAACCTTCTCCCATACCCTCAAAACCCTGGCAGGGAAGCGGTACAGGGTTCCCATTTTATAGTTCTGGGTCTAGTAAAGTATTTCCAGGGGAGAAGAAGGAAAATATATTAGATTTTTCTGCACAGTTTCTTGGGCTTTTCCAGTATGGGTCTGTGGCAGAAGGAAGCCACTGGTGGCATTTTTGGCTTCGTTAGAAGGAATCATTCCCTGACCCCGTCAGGATTTACTTTCCATGGAAGAGGATAGTCACTGGGTAGAAAACCCCAATGTGTCTGGTGGCAAGGTAGGAAAATGAGCTAGGCAGGATGGCTCATTGCCTTTTAAGAAAAACATGCATAGGAGCGACTAAAATATTCTGTTTTGTTGGCTGTTGCTGGATTTCTGGAAAGGAAAAGTACCTTCAGCTTGAACAGTCAAAATTCTGCTAACCTTAAAGATTTCAGCAATGAAGAATGCAGAAAAGCAATCCCTAAACACTACAGCATCAAATGGGTATGAGTCAGTTATGGGACTGCAGGGTAATTCCTGTTCCAAGGTTCAGCATCAAATGGGTATGAGTCAGTTTATGGGACTGCAGGGTAATTCCTGTTCTGCTGTACAAACTGGGAATCTACTTGAACAGGAGGAATAGGAATTTCGAGGAATATTCATTGGCGTCTCATTCCGAACCAGCAACAGGGAAATTCCTTCATGTGAGCATCTGAAATCAGTCCACCTGCTAGCTCTTACTCACATTTAGCTGCCTGGCAAGTCCTGTTACATGGAGAAGTCTCAGCCTGCAATTCTAGGGAAAAAAAAAAAAAACAACAGCTCTTAAGAAAACATCATCAGTAGAATAATGTCCCAGTGCTTCAGCTAAAGTAACCAAAAGTCATGGCAAGCTGCAACAGCTTAGTACTTTGAAATAACATGAGCAGGAAAAGATACAAGAAAATAAATACTGCAGCTACATTTGAAATAGCATCACTATTTAGAAAGCTAATGGCAATTTTGGAATGTGCAAAGACATGGGGAGGAGGGCTAAAACAGGGCTCTTTCCTTCAAAGCAGGCGAGCCCAGGGGTCTGCAGAAAGTAACTCACCACAGCTCCAACGGGAGGCAAAGGCAGCGACAGGAGCGGCCGCAGGGAGAGGAGCCGCTGCTGGGCAAAGCGGGAATTCAGGAGAGCAGATCTGGGAGC